ACCAGCTCCTTTTCCTCTGGGACCCTCAGTTTTCTCTTCTTACAGATGAGTAATTGACACCCTGTGGTCCCTGGAACCAGAAGTTTCTGTTGAGATCCACCTGGGGGAGGGGGAGGGCAGGACAGACCCCCGGGTCCCTCACCCCTGTTCCAACCCGCACAGCTTGGGGAAGCAGCAGAGGACAACCACAAGAGCTCTGGAGTCAGGTGGCCTGGGTTTGAGCCCCAGCCCACTTTCTGGCTGTGTGATCCAGGCCATTCTCTTAATTTCCCTATGCCCTCACTTTCCTCTTTGTGAAAATAATATAATGATTGTACCTGCTTTTCAGGGTTGTTGGAGAGTAAATGAGATTAGGTGTGGATGGCACTTAGCAGAGGACTGGTTTCTTGTAGAAGGGTTCAGGGCGTGTTCGCAATTTCTTGCTGTCAAGTTTTGCGCCACGTGGACCATTCCGTCTGCATGGGGGGCATCAAGGGTCCTGCTGTCAGTACTCAGAACTGCTCTGCCTGCTCAGCCTAGCCCCTTAGGTTTCTTGGAGCAGCTCCTGCTCCCTGCAGACCTAAGCCCCGGGTAGTTAGGACCTGTCACCAAGTTCTTGGGCTCTCCTCACCCTCTGGGACCTGGGGCTTACCCCCACCCCTGGTCTCCAGGGTGCCAGTCCCTGCTCCAGGCCAGGAGGGGGATGAAACACTCATCCTGGGATAAAAGGCTGGCAGACCTAGGCTGGGCCAATAAACCACCCCACCCTCGCTGGGAGGACCTCTGGGCACCCATGTAAACTGAGTCATGGGGGGTAAGGGGGGTGAGTCATGTGGCCCGTGAGTGGGAGCCAGATGGGGCAGAACTTGCCTATGGAGGGCCTTTGGCCATGCCTCATAAAGCCACAACTCTCAGGGCCCCTCTGACACCCAGCAGGACCCCAGCCTGCTGGGGCTGAGAGGCAGGGGTCTAGAGGTTGGGCTCCAAGCACACAAGCCAGCGCCTGTGTGTTCCTGTGTGAGCGTGAGCGTGTCTGTGCGTGAGCGTGTCTGTGCGGCCGCGGGGAGGGGAGTGAGGCTGGTGGGGAGGGGAGTGAGGCTGGCAGACCGGAAAGGGAGGCTCTGGCTCTGGAGGAAAGGATGGGGGTTTGGAAAGGAGTCAAAGCCCTAAGAGAGGAAGATTTTGGCGGGAATTCTTCTCTGCCCTCTCCTGGCCTCTGGGGGTTTGGCTGATTTTTTTTCCCCGCTGCAGGACAAGCTTTCTCTTTTTAGCCTGGGAGGAGCCAGGGCCCAGTGGGTGACATGTCTGTCCTCTAGAGTCCCCAGGAGCCAGAGCTGCTCAGTGACATCTCAGTCACTGAGCTCCCTGCCGCAGGGGTATGTAGGAGCACTTTGGGGAGTTGTGGAGGCTGCTAGAGCGTTTCTAACCTTGACCGTGGCCAAGTTACTTTACCTCTTCTGGCTGCAGTTCCCTCCTCAGTAAAACGAGGGCTGTGAGGACCAAAATGCATTAATGTGTGCAAACTGCTTGGAGGAACGCCAGGTACCGACTAGGTCATGTGCCCGTTTGTTCTTACTATCTGAGCCCCAGCGCCCTCAACTAAACAAATGGGGGAGGGAAGGGGGTGAGAGGCACCCCTTGTCTGGCCATTGCTTTGGTTCCAGTCTCTGAGGTCATTTCTTGGGAAGCTGACCCTCGTCCCCTACCCCACTGCCTGCTGACCCTGTCCCTCTGTCTGGCAGGGGGGCGGGGGGGTCACAAGGGAGAATGGGTTCAGTGGGTTGCTGGGCTGTGTGCCCTCAGGTTACCCCCTCAGTGTCTGGGGGATGCGCGTCAGAGAAGTGGGGAGTTTCCCTCCCTGGATGAATCAGCTTTGTGACCCAAGCCTCGTCCCTGCCAGGGCCCCTCCCAGCAGGCGGGAGTGGGGTCCAGTTGCCCTGCTGGGAAAATCCCCCAGACCTCACCAAAACCTGGGCTGAAACTTTCTCCCAACTCAGTTGTTTCCGGTCTTTCCTGGCTCAGCCCCTACCCCAACTGAAATCAGGGGTCGGGTAGATAGTCTCCCCATCCCCCGGCCAGCCCCACTAGAGCCTCCTACCTGGTGTTTGGCGTACACAGGACTTGTGAGTGGGAGGAGGTAGATTGTGTGTGTGTGTGTGGGGTCTCCTTTCCCGGGCCTCAGTCATCCTTTATGTGGTTTTATAAAAGAGGGCTGAGCATAGGGGTTTGTCCAAGTTTACTCAGCCTAGCCCACCCTGGGCCTGGGCTGTTTCTTTGCTCCAAACAGGGCAGAATCCCCTGCCAGCCTGAGCGGGGGATCTTGGGGAGCTCCTGGCCTGGTAGGGAAGCGGTCCTTCCCCTAGGCCTGGGAGATGGGAGAGCCTTCCTGCTCAGGTAGGCTTAGTCATTGTACTCTCTGGGTCTCAGTTTCTCCATCAGTCAAATAGGAATATTAAGTCTTGGCCCAGCCTGTTCTCCCCGGCAGTTCTGAGAACCCACTTCGTGTGCTTTACAAGTCAGATCCTAAGTCCTGGCTGGGGCTTGTTTGCCTTAGCAGCCCCTCATTCCGGTGGAGCTTTCCTGCAGTGGCGGCTCTGCCATGCCGTCAGGGTAGAAAGGCCTGGATTCAGACCTTAGCTCTGCCCCTTACGGCTTTGTAACCTGGAACCAATCACTGAACCACTTTGGGCCTCGGTTTCCTCGACGGCAAAACAGCAATAATAACAGAGCCACGTGAGACTTTGAGGAGAGGATGGAGGAAAACATTCAGCACGGTGCCTGGCTCTCGTAATGAACGGAATGAGGAAACAGGCCCGGAGACAGAGAGTGACTTTCATTCACTCATTCACTTATTCGATGTGTATCTGGCACTTGGGCTCGGCCAGGTCCTGTGCTGGACCCTGCAGACACCCTGTGGGACAAAGTGGAGCCATTGTCCTTGTGGGGGGGTCGCCCCACACACAGATGAGAATCGCAGTGGGGTGGGTGTTATGGGAGCCTGAGGTGTGGGTGAATGAGGAAGGAGAAGTCTCTGGGAGGAGGGGCTGGTAGGTGTGAGGTGTGTTTAGTCAGGAAAGCATGGGAGGGTCAGGCACACCAAATGGAGGGCATGAGCAAGGCACCGAAGCGAGAATGCCCAGCATGACTGCAAGAAAACGGGTAGCTGTTTGCTTCTGGAGTGAGAAGGGTGAAGCAGAGAGTGGAGGAGTCCGGGGGAACAGGCAGGGCTGGATTCAGATTGAAATCTGGATTCGGATTTTAGTTGATTTATGGAGAGGTTGCTCTGGTCAAGCACTGTGCTAGGCTCTTGGGACAGGGCTGAGATTTTAGATGCTGTTCTTGCTTTCACTAAGACCCCCAGTCTGGGCACGCGGCTTGGGGACCAGTGGAAGATAGGCATCAAATGAGTGATTACATAAGTAACCTCCCGATCCTTGCTGAACGACAGGTGTTCAAGCAGAAGGAACAGCCTGAGACCCAGGGCTGCGTGCCAAGGGGTGAAGGAAGTGCCAGTTGGTTTCAGTGGGGTGAGCACAGGCGGGAAGGGGCACCTGAGGAGAGCTGGGGCTCGGCAGGGGTCTAGGGTCATGGCTGCCTCGGGAGAGTGGACTCCAGATTGCAGGCTATGGGGAACCATGGAAGGGCTTTGAGTAGGAGAGGGACACAGGTAGCTCTGCAGGGGAGCTGGCTGCAGGGGGATAGACGGGGTCAGTCGGAGAGAATGGGGCAGCGGAGGCAAACTGCGGTGGTGTGGGAGGGAGAGTGAGGACTGGGCTAAGGCAAGGCCATGAGGATGGAAGAGAGAGGGAGAGTTTGTGAAATGCTTAGGAAATGTTAGGAAAGGACCATCAGATGCTGTTGATACCACCTGGGCTGCTTTGTGGGACCCATCAGGGCCTGGCAGGACCCCTCGGAGCCTTGGCCCAATTTGGTCAAGCGCAAAGCATTGCTTGTCTGAGGGAGGCAGGGTAACGGGGCTCCAAATCAGACCACCTGGGACTCCCCAGGGCTGGGCTGAGGCAACTCAGGGCTGGGGAAACTCGGGGTGAGGAGGAAGCTGGGGAGGGGGCTGAGGCAGCATCTCATGACTCACCCACTTCCATCCAGTCAGCCCGGTGGCATCTCCGCTCCCCTGCTCCAAATTCCAATTTGGTGAGGCTGCTGGAGGCTGAGTCAGCTCCGGCACGGCACGAGAGCAGCGTCCCAAGGGGCTCCTTGCCAGAAACCTCGGCCCCCAACCAAGGCCAAGGCCAGGCTCCCAGACTACAGTAGCCTGAGCCGAGTGGTGCTGCCCACGATCATGTGAGTGACTGTGCCTTGTGGGTTGTGAAGAACTCACAGTGGGTGAGGCCCTGGGTAACAGTCCAAGGAGGAGGCAATGGCCGGGGGCTAAGTCCTCCTCTGCTCAGCTCACCACACGACCCTGGGAGAATTCCTTTTCCCTCTTGGCCTCTATTTTCTTGACCACACAGTGGGACCCACATCTCCTAAGCAGCTTATGATACTTAAATAAGACATATGAAGTGCTTTGCAAACTGCCCAGTGGCCCAGGATAGTCAGGGTTGGAGAAGTGAGGCAAAACGTGAGAATGTCCAGAGTTCCTTACAGCTGTGCAGGCTGCTTACTGCCTAAGAAGTCCAACCTAGGCTGTCGAAATCTAGCCCATCCTCCACTCACTGGGCTGTATTCCCTAACCTAGAAATGCTAGGACCAAGAGGGTACCCTTCTCTGACACAAATACACCCAGTAGGGCCCAGTAGTAGCCCCTCAGACTTTGCTGGGTCAAGCCCCTAGATTTATGGGAAACCACTAAGAAACCGATTCTGATTCTTGGGATGGAGGAGAAGCAGGACTGGTTTTGCAGAGGCTCTCAGGGAGGTTCCCAGCCTTGGCAGGGAGATGAATCTTATTACTGGGGAGCAGTTAGGGGTTCCCAGGTAGGGCAGAGAAGAAGTCTCACTTGGCTGGGCCTCTCCTCAGAAACCAAAGCAGGCAACCAGTATTTTAAAAAACACTCAAGACACGGACCCAAACTGGGTTTTATTGAAATGCCAGGAGCAGGCACATGTCAAAATAGTAAAGGAAGGAAGGAAGGAAGGAAGGAAGGTGGTGCAGGCTGTTTGAGGTGACAGGGGAGGGGCAGGCCCCATGTCCATGGCCCTGACATCCCCTCTCTCTGCCAAGGGCTGAGTGGGTACAATTACCCTCCCCCCCACGAAATAGCATGCTTAAGCCTGCAGGGCCTTTGCCCCCTGGACTGTGAAGGCTCCAAGAGGGACCGGAAGCACTCATTTTTGTCTCTTGTGAGGGAGGAGAAGGAAAGGTTTCAGGAGAGGTACAGCTGGGGATGAGGGTGGCCGGGGCAGGCTCTCCTCCTGGGAATCTGTACCCAGTCTGTGGTCCTGGATGACAGAGGGGAGCAGCAGTGAAAAGAGAGGCTGAGGGTCCGGCCCTCAGGGAGCCAGAGCCTCCAGCTGGTGGGGACTTGAGTCAGCCCTGAACAGAGGGCAAGAGTTCAAGGGGATCGAAGATGCAGGCAGTTCCCGGTTGACCGACTGACTGACGCAGTCCTCAGAGCTGGGGGGCTCAAATTCCGTGGGACAAAGAGGAGGAAGACGGGAGAATCCATCCCTAGCAGGGGGGGGTGGCGAGGGGGGCAAAAGGTGGTCTCCCCTGACTAGCCGAATTAGGTCAGTTCCACATTGTTGGCGCGGTCCAGCACACGGGAGCCACGGGTACTGCCCCCCAGCTGAAAACGACTCTCGTAGAGAGTGGGGCAGAGGTGCCAGCGGTTGGCCCGGTAGATGCCCAGGTAGGTGTAGACGTCAGGCTTGTAGGTGAGCAGACACTTGATGCCTGCCGCACGGATGGCTGCATCCGCCTCTAGCACACCCAAGCGGTCCGTGAAGTCATCTGTGTAAACACAGATGACTTGGCGCCCCCCCTCCCTGGCCCGTGGGCTCACCTTGGCCACCTGAAGCCGGCCCTCGACCACAGCCCGAGCAATGCCGGCCCAGGCGTGGTCCAGCTTGAAGCCAGGTGCCAGGTGTATCAGCCACTTGCCAGAGAGCACATGATGGGTGATGGCCAGCTGGCGCAGGGTACTCGGTGTGATGGGCCGCCCACTGGTCTGCAGAGCTTCCCAGGCTGCCTGCAGGCCCTGCACATCACCCGAGTTGGGGACGTAGCCCTGCCCATATGCCGCAATCCAGCCCACAGGCTCAGAGTTGGGCGAGCCAGGGTCCCCATAGCGAGTAACTTGCGAGGGTGGGTACTTGGCCAACCAGGCATCCAGCTCGGCGGCAGGTGTGGTGCGGGCATCAAACACCAGCCAGGGGTCCATGTCCGCTGCCATGGCCTCCGCGGCCAGGTGCTCGGCAGTGAAGCCATCCTCACGGCCGCCTGGAGAATCTTCCTCCTCCATCTCTTCACCGGGCTCCATCCTGCTGTGGAGGAACCGAGTTAGCGCAGGTCCAGGACACATCTACATCTTGGCTGGGCCCTAGCAGGTGCGGCCAATGAGCTAAACTCTGTGGCCTTGGGTGAGACTTAAGGTCCCATGCCTCAGTTGCCTCATCTCTACAGCTGACAACTGTTCCTGTTCCCTAGAGCTGTCGAGCCTTAAACGCCCCAGGTGGAATAAGGGCTCCATAAAGGCTGTTGCTCAGCTCATTATCACTCTCCCTAATGCACAGACCCAAAACTGAGGCTCAGAGAGAAGTGACTTACCCAAGGTCACACCTGCAATGAGTGACAGAGCCGAAATGTGAATTCAGGTTGGGGAGCAAACAGCCCAGCTACACCTCCTGGCCCTGCCAATAACTGGCAGGAATCCGGAGCGCCGGGATTTAACGAGGGAAGCAAAGAAGCGCACGTTCGCGCAGCATCGAGGCAGGCCCAGTAGGGCCAGACCCTCGAGGATGGCGCTGTCAGGTCCACCTGAAGACAAGCACGCTGAGGCCCAGAAAGAGCAGTGCCCGGTCCAAGGCCAATGGGGCGGCAGCCGGACTGGAACCCAGGCTTGTTAGAGCCTAGGAATGCGCCAGCCTCGGGCCAGCCGCGCCCGCCGCCATTAGCGCCCACAGCCCGAGCCGCGCCCCCGCCCAGCCCTGCCCCGTCCCGCAGCCCCGCCGTCACCTCCGGCCTTCGCCGCGCTCGGCGCCGGCCCAGCCCCGCGCCCGGTTCCGCTCCTGCCGGGGCTCTGCACCGCCGCCGCCGCCGCCACCTCCGCTGCCGCCGCCGCCACCACCGCCGCGCCCCGCCCCCGCCACGGCTGCCGCCGCCGCCATCTTAGCGCCCGCCGTCTCAACAACAACTTTATAGACAAGCGCAGCACGGGGCGGGGCCACCGGGCCAGTCTGCCGCGCCGCGGGGCGGGGCCTGAGAGGGGGAGGGGCTGACCCCGGGGGCGGGGCCGGGATCCGGGGGCGGGGCTAACGTTCGTTCTCCTAAGCTTGGGGGGCCGGCGGGAGTGGCGGTCCGGTCCGGGATCGACGCGCACCGCCGGGGAGGCTCCAAGGGGAGGGCTCTCCGGCCTTGAGAGCGGCGTGCTGACCGGCGGCGCTAGGACCTCGTGGGGAGCGGCGGGGGCGGAGCAGGCGGCACCAGGACCCGGGGGAACCGCGGCAGGCGGGCGGCGAGCAGGCCCGGGGGCCGGGAAGCTGCGGGCGGCGGCGCTGGGCCCGGTGCGGCGAGAGAGGCCCTGAGATGCCGAGCAAGAAGAAAAAGTATAACGCGCGGTTCCCGCCGGTGAGCACGTGGCCGGGCCCGGAGGAGCAGGCCGGGCTCCCGGGAGGCTCGGGCCCAAGCCCGGCTGGGTGGGGGGGGTGGGCGCGTCGCGATGTTCGGGGGCACGGACGCCCCGCCCCCTTCCGTGCTCTCTTGGCGTCGGGGCCCCCCGCCCCCTTTCTCCCGGATACCCTCTCTCATCCCCACGCCCCAGCACCCCTTTCTGGGACGGAGGTGACAGGGTCCGAGTTTTCTGCCCCCTTCCCAGGCGCGGATCAAGAAGATCATGCAAACTGACGAAGAGATCGGAAAGGTGGCAGCGGCGGTGCCTGTCATCATCTGTATCCTGTCGGGGCCTGGCCAGGTTGAGGGACGTGGGGTAGGGAGGAAGCCCGGGGTCGCCTTCTTTAGGCTGGGGATCCCCCACCCGTATTCTCCTTGACGCTCCTCAGCGCGGGCGCTTGAGCTGTTCCTGGAGTCCCTGTTGAAGAAGGCTTGCCAGGTGACCCAGTCTCGAAATGCCAAGACCATGACCACATCACACCTGTGAGTGGCCCGGAGCCGGTCTGGCCCAGTGGGACCCTGCCCCAGGAGTTCACACACTTAGGGGAGGTGGGAGGCTGCTGGGAGACCAGCAGTGCCTCAGACACTGGTGGGTTTGAACTGGGGGAGGAGGGGCTGGGTGGTCTAGCCTAATGGGTAGATCCCTTAGTGGAGATGGGGTGGAGGTTTTCCAGGCTCCGTTCTCCTGACATCCAAAGACCCTTACTGTCCCTTGCTGAGGGCCCAGACATCTGGGCCCCACCTGAATGCCGTCTTCTCTCCACCACTTCCAGGAAGCAGTGCATTGAGCTGGAGCAGCAGTTTGACTTCTTGAAGGACCTGGTGGCTTCTGTGCCTGACATGCAGGGAGACGGGGAAGACAACCACATGGACGGGGACAAGGGTACCCGCAGGTGGGGAGCCAGGGCCAGGTGTCCAGGCAAGGAAGGCCAAGGCCACCCGGGTTGGGGGTGGTTGGGGGTTGGTCAGGGAGTGCTGAGATCTCTGGGCAGATGGACTGTCCCTTCCCGAAGGGGCCGGAAGCCTGGCAGCGGTGGCCGGAAGAATGGTGGGATGGGAAGCAAAAGCAAGGACAAGAAGCTGTCAGGGACGGACTCGGAGCAGGAGGTAAGTGAGGCCCCCCCAGCCCCTTGCCCTACCCTGTGGTGTGGAGAGGGCAGACTTCTGTCAGGCCTTGTTGGCTGGATACCTGGTCCCGTCCTCACCTATGCTTTTTTGTAAATTGGGCCCGTAAAGGTTAGGCTGTAGAGCTTAGTCTTCTGTCCTTGCCACTCCTGAGGGTCTAGGCTCTCCAGTGATGAGCTCATGCTTTTCTTGTCATCTCTGCTCCTTGCCTTGCTCCCAGGATGACTCTGATGACACAGACACTGATGGGGAAGAGGAGACATCACAGGCTCCAGCCCAGGCCAGCCATCCCCCTGCCCACTTTCAGAGGTAAGCCCCTCAGTGGCAAGAGAGGGGGGCTAGCAGACTCCACAAGGCTGACATGTCCTTTTCGTCCTCGTGGCAGATCTGGAGGACAGGAGGGGAGGAACTGAGGAGGGCTTAAATGCAGGAGACTGCTCTCAGAAGGTCTCCTCCCTGACCCGCACCCAGCCCCACTGAACATGTGACTTGTTCTAGGTCCTTCCCTTCTCTGGGCTTGGCCACCCCCAGTACACAGGGCCACGGGCTCCATGCTGGCGGGGGTGAGGCAGGGCTCAGCGGGCAGAAATGGGTACCGGAGAGGGGCCTGATCGTTCTCTCCTGCTTTCTGCCCTGCAGCCCCCCGGCACCTTTCATGCCCTTCACCTCGACTCTGCCTCTGCCCCCAGCCCCCCCGGGCCCCTCGGCACCTGACGCAGAGGACGAAGAGGACTATGACTCCTAGCGCCCTCTGCCCCCCAGGCCATGCCCCCTTTTAGTTGGTTTTAGTTGCTCTGGGGGGAGGAGAGAAGATAGAGCTGTTCTTAAATTTATTAAAAAATTAATAATAAAAGGGAACACCCGTGTCTGTCCCAGCCTGCGTCCAGGGCTCCGTGGCCACCTTCCTGTCCATCCACCTGCTTTCTCTGTGCTGAGCTGAGGCTAAGAGCGGTGGCGGGCAGGGCAGCCGCTGAGTGAAAGGAGGGTCCAGAGGCCACGGTTCGGCCAGGGCGGGAGCAGGGGTGCTGGCGGAAGGAAGGTGGGCAGAGTGGTGGTGTAGGGCCGGAGCCGGGGGTGCTGGTTACTCTGGGGGACGACCTGTTCCGTTGTGCCGTGGGACCCTGGCGAGGTTCCTGTCTTTCTCTGAGCCTCTTCTGCCCCTTCTGGACTGCTGCAGAGGGACAGATTGGACAAATAACGGAAAAAGGCCTTGCAGACTACAGAGCTCGGTGCCTGGTGCAATGAAGGGCACGTGGGAAGGGCCGTGGGAGCAGAGGTAGGTCGGACTGTCGAGGGCTCAAAGATCCCCTTTCAAGCAGGACAGTGACCCAGGTAGTCAGTCCACCCCCATTTCTGAGCAGACCCTGGGACCGTGGGGTCCCCAAGGCAGACGTGTGCCTTCAGGGAGCCAGGGCTGGTGAGGCCGTTGGGAGACACGGCGGCCAAAGGGCAGACTCGAGGTGTGTGTCGTCCGTAGACTCACGGGTGCCACGAGCTCACTGGCTGTGGGGCTGAGAGGGAGGGAACCCTTAGGGACTGCCAGCTTGCTTTCTGCAGCGACTTGGGCAGGGGCCCTTTTCCAGCTGGAGGACACAGAGAAAGAGCGAGATTAGGGTCAGGATCACAAGTTGGGCTGTGGTGAGTTTTGGGCACCTGTGAAGCTGCCAAGGGGAGACATCAATGGGCTGTGGAATATTGGGGGCCTGGAGACAGACGTGTGAGCCTTAAGAGGAGGCGACCCCACCCCAGGGAGAGAGGGGAGGGCCTGGGCAGGCCACCAAAGGAGACGGAAGAGCAGCCACACCCAGCGCCTTTGGGAGCCACAGGTGGTGCCCGTCCAGGTGTGTCTGGGAGAAGGGAGAGGTCAGCTGTCACAGCCGCTCGCAGGTTTTAGGGAACACTTGGTCGTGGCTGATGGCCGGGAGCAGGAGGTGAGAAGCCAAGGCGAGGGGAAGCGGGCTCAGGGCTGAGAAGCAGAGGCCAGAGCCATGGCTCAGAACAAGGACAGAGAAATGGTTTTGGGTTTTGTTTTCTAAGTTAGCGGAAACACAGGCCGTCGTGAGGGAGGGGACTGAAGGATGGGAGGGAGACTGAGGCAGTGAGGCGAGCTTGCCTAAGGCTGACCCCCGCCTGACCAGGGCGAGGGGGAGGACACTGAGTGGGTTTGGCAGGGACACTGAGGTATTCAGTTTTGGTGCTACAGGGTCTGACTTCTTTGGGGCGCAGGAGGCTGAGTGGCAGGCGTGGATGGGCCCGGGCGCCCGGGGCCAGGGGGTCACCCTGGTCCTGTCCTGCCATCTTTTGGGGAGTATCTCTCTCGTGCTCACTCTATAGTGAGTGCAGCTGTCCCCTCTCCCTGAGGTGGAGGGGTGGGAACATTGCAACACACACTCTGGCCCCTGTGAGGGGTGGAGGCTGGGTCGTGGCCCTAACAGGCCAGTTAGCGGCCCTGACCCTTGGGACTCAAGGTGGGACTGTTGGGGAAGGGTCTTGACAAGACGGTCAGCTTTGCCATGGCAGCGGGAGACAGCAGGGAGCCCTTTCCGGAGTCCTGGTGAGGGTGACAGTGGCCACGCTGGGGTAGCAAAGCTGACAGAACGTAGGTTGGGCGCTGCCGGCGGGTGATTCTGACTGAGAAGGAAGCCAGCGCTGGAGACCCAGGAGCCTCAGAGAGACCCGTTTGTGATGACACCAGGACCCAGTCTTGCCTGAACCCCGTCTATCTTAGACTTCCTAGTCACGTGAGCCAATAAACATTGTTCTCCCTCAAAGACAGTTGGCTTTCCGTCACTTGTGACTGCAAGAGCTCTGGTGGCAGGGACCACGAATGGGAAGCGGTTTCCAGCGGCCCGGGAGCGGAAGCAGTCTTCCTGGCAGCCAGCTGGGCCCAGTCCCGGCAAGCTGGACACCGGGGTCTGCAGAGCCGAGGGCATGCCATGCAGGTGTGACGCATGTAGGTGGGAGAGGAAGACGCCTTTGGAACTGGTGGCTGGGCCACGGCTGGAGATGAGCTTCTGAACTGAGAAGGTTCCAGAGCGGAGAGGCTGGGAACGACTGGAGAAGGCAAGAAGCCCAGGACGCTGGGAGCAGCCTTCCAGGCAAAAGACTTAAGGAGGCCCAGGTGAGGGGGAGACGCCCAGGAGCCTCTGTGTTGTCGGCCCTGCTGCTTCAGCCGGGGCGGTGAGCTGAGGGGCATAACCTCTGGAGCCAGGCTGTGGGTTCGAATCCTGACTTCTCCATGTGCTAGCCTCAAGCGAGTTCTATAGCTTTTCTGTATGTCAGTTTTCTCTGTAAAGTGGGGCTCTGGGTTACCTATGTTAGTTATCATGCTATACTACATACACTAGTTATTAGGGCAAGCGGCTGACTTAAAATACATAGGCTCAAAGGCAGTGAACTTTATTGCTGGCTCACATGAGACTCTTAAGGAGATTGATCTGATCAACGGCAGTGTTTCTTTAAGAGGGACTTCAGGGCCCAGGCCCCTTCCATCTTGGGGCCCCACCGTTCTCAACCCATGAGTTTCAAAGGACAAGCTCGTAGCCCACAGAGGTGTTTTGCGCCAGGGTTGGAAGTGGCCCCATTGCCTCTTTCTACGGGAACTGTCACAAGGTCCCACCTGAGGGGAGCTAGGAAAAGTGGTCTAGCCACCCGGTGTGTCCAACTGGCTGGTTCTGCTCACAGGTCTTTGGGAAGGGCCTAACCCAGTGTTCGCAATGTGTTAGGAGTGCAGCCTCCTGAGTGAGGGCAGGGGCCCCGAGGAGATGATATCCTTGACTGGGCCTGGCCCCTTGGTGCATCCTGGGAAGGGGAAAGATGGCTGTGCCCGGCGGGCAACCCTGGGCACCAGGGGCCAGCAGCTTGCTGACATTCCACCTGCAGGGCTCTGTCTGGGTCCAGATGATCTTCTCCCTTCATTCTCTCTTTCCACTGGGGGGGGCCTTGGGCATTGGGCCAAGTGCTATCTGAATGCGTCAGCCCAGCCTTGGCCCCACCCTGGGGTATTAAGTGTGACCAGGGTGTGAAACGGGCAGCTGCTCCTGAGACAGCACGGCCACCAGGGGCTGTCCCCCCTCAGGTGCAAGGTACAGACCCACCCCCCTTGCCAAACAGAGAGGCCCCCTCTAGAGTGCACCTGAGGAGCCAAACGTTCAGCAGAGGTTCCTTGATCACCCCACATCCTCATGCAGCAGGGACAGGAGAGGCCGTAGTCACCCACCGGGAGCAGGAAACAAAGAGCGTGCTGTCGCTGGGGGCTGGCGTGGAAGCTAGTGGCCCCAGAGCTCACACTGCTGGTGGGGATCTCAGATGGTGCGACCACCTTAGAAAACGGTTGGGCGGCTCCTCCTCGAGTCCACTGACCTACACTTCCCCGCACGCATGGTTCCGTTCCTAGGCAGGTGTCCACCAACAGACATACAGGAATGTTTGTAGCTCCCGGCCAAGACAACCCACAGGCCCAGCAGCAAGAGTGTGACTAAGGAAATGATGGAATATTGGGCAATAGAAGAGCCACAGAAAAGCCCTAACCACCATCACACGCAACAGCATGGGCCGATCGCGTGGACGTTCTGTTGAGCCAAAGAAGCCAAACACAGGATTCCATGTGATGATCGTTCATTTAAATGACGTTCCGGGGCAGACAGTGGGATTCAGCGTGATGCTACCATTTGGGGGGAGGAGAGGGGCTGGGAGGGGGTGCAAAGCAGCCCTCTGGAAATGTTTCACTGCTCGAACTGGGTGGTGTTTGTATGTAAAAGTACATTAAAGCCACACATTTCAGATGTGTGTTTGTAGGATGACCTCATATCAATTTCATCTATCTCTTGGGAGCCCGTGGCCTGCTAGGTAGTGATGATTATGTATGTTCTCTGGGTTTATTTCTGATGGGGTGGGGAGAGACAATGAGGAAGACATAGAGTATGTCAGATGGTGGGGCGCGCCCTGGGGAGAAGGAAGCACAGTAAGGGAGGAGGTGGGAGTCCGGGGGCAGGAAGGGTGGCCCCAGCCATCCCATATAGGTTTTAGGGGAGGCTCTGACAAGGTGAGATTAGAGTAGAAAACCAAGGAGAGGGCTCCAGGTGGAGGGACAGCGAGGGCAAAGCCCTGGGGGACTGTGATTTGATTGGGTCCGGTGTCCCTATGGGCTTCCCCCGGCTCCCACGACCTTGCCCACTGCCCAGGAGCCTGACTTAGGAGCCACCAGCCCAGTATTTGGGCTGCCTTGGCTGAGGGGTGTTTTTGTGGCAGCCTGTTAGGATGCCTCAGAAGTTTCCTGAAGGGGAAGAAGGTAGTGGTGTGGGCACAGTAGGAGCACTTAGCCACACCCGCCCTGTGCAGGGCTCAGGGGCCTGGTGAGTGGGGAAGTGGGAGTTAATGGCCTGCCTCCTTCTCTTACCCGAGGGCCATCCTTTCTCAAGTACAATAGGTTTGTCTCCAGGACATGAAGGGAACCAAGTTCCTACCGTCCCAGGCCCCCAGGCTGTGGGCACAATGGCAGGGGGATGACACCTGTGACCCAGATGCTCTACCAGGGGCTTGGTCCCTCCTCTCCCTGGGCAGAGCCTTTGGGAGAGTGGTGGGGGGCTCTGGACTCCCTTGGGGGACTCCTTGTAACTGGGGAGTGGGGCGGGAGTTGGGTGGACCTCACTTCTTTCATCAGAGTGAACTCTATTCTGAAATCATGTTCATTGCTATTTTGTGTGCATGTGTATGTTCAAATGTCATTTAAAAAAAAAAAAAAAAAAGGAATAAGGACAAGGATCTCTGCACCTGCCCTGGTAATCCGAAAGCTGCAAAGGAAAACGCGAGATCCCACAAGGCACCTGCCAGACCAGCGAGAATAGGAAGCCTCATGAACAGGGATGCTGGTGGGGAGCTGGTAAATGGAAGTCTGGTGCTTTTGGTGGGAGTCAGGATGTTCGAAAGGGCATTTTGACACCTGTGCGCCCCCCACCCCCACCCCCTGTCCAGCAGGTCCACTCCTGGGTAAAATCTCTCGCAAACTGATGTGTTCTCGGGACGGTTTGAGGTGGCAAAGAGCCAGAGGCTAAGTGTCAGCAGTGTGGACAAGGCTTACACACAGAGTGTTGCTGGTGAAAAACAGAAAAACACAGGACAAGATCCTCAGCAGAGCCTTGTTTACAGAAACTGAAAACACAGGAGCAGGACGGTCTTGTATATTTCTGTCAATCACACTGTGACCTGCGGCAGCAGGCGGAAGGTCTCTGTGCTTCAGCTTCCCCATCTGTAAAGTGGAGACCACAGCAGCAACTCCTTCAGGGACACGTGATGATGATGTGAGATTTGATAGATTAAGTGCTTAGCAAAGTGCCCAGCACACAGTGAGCACGAAGTAAATGGTGCCTCCCATCTCTGATGCATTTGGAGGTCGACACCGAGAAAGCAGATTGGAAGGGCGAGTGTCAAACACAAGGTGGAGGAGTGGCTGTGGGATGCTGGGATAGGATTGGGGATGGGTTGAAAGGAAAGTTTATTTCAAAGGGAGGCTTTTTTGGGACGCTGGTGATGCGCTGAGTGCCCGAAACCAAGGAGCATGGTCGGCTCCAGTCAATGTTCCCAAGTTTAAATGAAAACAGAAGATATTGCCAGTTGTCATTTTCCAAAATGGGCCAAACCCCACTTATCTCCCTAGACAGGGTCTCATAAGGACAGGAAAACAGTGGCCCTGCGTGTTTCTGGGATCATGTATGTTTTTATCATTCATTCACTCAACTAGTATTTCTGAACCCCTGTTCTGTGCCAAACCCTGTTCTGGGCTCTGGAGAGAAACACACAAAATATTTTTTTAAAACCATTTTATTATTTTTTAAATTTTGTTTTATTTACTTATTAGAGAGAGAGAGATCGCACAAGCAGAGTGGAGGGGCAGAGGGGGAGGGAGAAACCGCTGAACAAGGAGCCAGGACCCTCGGGATCATGACCTGAGCCGAAGGCAGAGGCTCAACTGACTGAGCCACCCAGGGGCCCCAAACACACAAAAACTTTGACGGCCTCTGGTTTCGGGCCTGACTCCGGAGTCTTTGCCGAGGGTCACATTGAGCTGCGAGCTGCTTCAGGGGTATCTTTGGGACTCAGCATCAGAAGACATCAAGACCAAAATCAAGAACTACTCAACTTGCCCTTTTGGGGAAGCCGCTTCCCCAAGTAGAACCAGACCAGGAACTGCTGGCGGGACTACCCGGGTGTCCACCGCAGTGACTGAGAAAGGGGGTGATGTCTCCGTGTTCAAGCAAGTCCCCTCCCCGAATCCTGGGTGTCAACCTGGGACAACCTCCAGCAGAAGGCACGTGTCCTGGGGACATCTCAACGGGCTCCGCCCACCCCTCCTCTGTCCTCCATCCTTCTCCCAGGGTGGCGATGGGGGGCCTGGGTACATGGTGACCCCCCACCCCGGGATCCTGAATCATGATGTAAATAATAACACTCATTGGAAACGTGTAAGGCTGTGTCTGTGTCAACAGCTAGATGATCGGGCAAGACGCTATAGGGGTGGAATGAGTACGTCCACCAGGAAGAGGGGCTTCCGGGTGATTGTTTTTTATGTTTTGTTTTGTTTAATGTTACTAAATCGACCACCACCTCTATACCCCACCACCAAAAATAGGCAACCTGTTCCCAGGGGGACTTCTGCTCCAGGTGGGGATGGTGTAATTGCCCACCAAAAACAAAAGTACGATATCTAAGGGCTGGGTGGTAGGTGCCGGGAAGGGGAAGAAAGCGGGGAGAAGGGAAGGGAGACAGATGGGGTGTGAGTGGGCTCACGGCTCCGCACTCAGAGGTGTGGTGGCCCTGGCCACTGGGTCCTTCCCCCTTCCTTGTTCCTGTGAAGGGCGCCCTGCGGGTTTCCAGCCGCCAAGTCTCTGCTGTGGCTCTGGTACCCAGGCAGGGTTCACTTTCCCCTTCCCCTAAGTGCTTCAAGTTCGATTTCTGCCTCCTGGGTTCTCTGCCCCTGCCTGTCCCCTCCCCACCCCGAGCCACATCTGCCCTTGCAGGGAAGCCGGTCACTTGGGGGGCAGGTGGGGGAGAAGATGATGTTGGTGGTAGGGGCCTCCATAGGACGTCTCTTGGGATCCACACCCCTAAGGGAGTAGAACACCCCATAAGAGTTTGGGCTCTGTGACGCTACCTGTATTTCATAGCACAATGTTCATCAGCCTTGTAGTCACATTACCTTGTAGCCCATAACCTGACATCTCTGTGCCTCAGTTTCCTTATTATGAACGGCATCATCATTTTCCCTATGTTGTCGTTAGGATTAACTGACATGTATAGAGATCCGCTGACCGTCTGTTCTGTGCCAGGCTCAGTTCTAGGCACTAGCATTCGGTGGGGAGCAAGCCCAGTGTACTTAACCTTTGGTGGTGCAGGGGGTCTCACCCCTTATTGCTCTTGGAATTGCTGGAGAGCTCTGAAGGCGACCCATGCCTGGGGCCCATCTGCGGAGATTCTGATCTAACTGGCTGGGAGGCCCCAGGCGTTGGTACATTTGATGCCTGGGTGGCTCAGTCAGCTGAGTGTCTGCCTTCAGCTCAGGTCATGATCCCAGGGTCCTGGGATCGAGCCCCACATCAGGCTCCCTGCTGAGCAGAGAGGCTACTTCTCCCTCTACTTGCTGCTTCCCCTGCTTGTGTTCTCTCTAATAAGTAAATAAATACAATCTTTAAAAAAATAAATAAAAGCTTCCCAGATGGTTCTAACGGGCCTTCAGGGTTGAGAACCCCCAGTGCTGTGTTTTTCTCCACTGTGAGTCCAGGTTCACCTTTGTAAGCTTGGTTTTAATCTTCTGGCTGCCTGTCTCCCTGGGTTTGAATACTACTGCACTCATGACTGGAAAATTCTTCCTCTCCTCCCAAAATAATTATCTAACCACACTAAACTGTCAAACCCAGCTCACCTCCTTCCGCCAGTATAATTAACTCCTTGTTTGCCCCTCATCTCACCACACACGCGCGCCACACACACACACACACACACACACACACACACACTCAACTCAGCCTTCTCAGTCCCTAAACTACATAGCTTTTAAAGCTCAGCTCAAATGTCACCTCCTCCGGGAGGCCTTCCTGGGGGGCTGGCTGAAAGCAGTCTCTCCTTCCTTTCAGTCTTGGGTTAGTGTTTGCATGATCTACCTTCTCCCATCCTTTTCCACTTGAACCCATCTGTGTCTTGACATTTAGAGTGGGTTTCTGGCAGGCAGAATAAGATTGAATCTTGCATTTTTAATGCAATCTGATCATCTCTTCTTTTTAGTTGGCATGTGTACACAATTTATGTGCTTTTTTTTTATTGTACCAAAATACACGTACAATTTACCACACTTTTAAGGGTACAGTGCAGTGACATTATGTACTTCCTCTTCCACGGTGCTGTGTGACCATCACCACCCTCGAGCTCCAGAATCACGTCATCTTTCCAAATTGGAACTCAGGCCCCATTCAGCACCAGCTCCCCATTTCTGCTTATCCCCAGGCCCTGGTGACCAGTGTTCTCTTCACTGTCTCTGGCTTTGACTCTTCTAGGTATCTTAGCTCACATGTGGGATCACACGACATTTACCCTTATGTGTCTGGTTTATTTCACTTAGCACAATATCTTCACAGTTCATCCATACTGCGGCATGGGTCAGAATTTCTTTTTTTAAAGGTTGAATAATATCCCATTAATCTATACACCACATTTTATTTATGCATTCATTCATGGAGGGGCATTTGGGTTGTTCCTAGCTTTTGGTTACTGTGAATAATGGTGTCACAAACACGGGCGTACAAATATC